ATATATGTGCATATATATATGTACACATATATATATATTTGTACATATACAAAAGCGATAACAAAAGGAGGGAATTATTTGGCCATATGACACACACACATTCTGAGGAATGTACAAAAAAATGATACAGGTTCAGAAACCTCGGATAGACCAACTCGATAGAATTGCAACTAGCCCCCTATTCAAGACTACAAATGGAAAAAAAGATAAAAATGATCAGACATCAGTATTGATGAGTGAGAAAAATGGAGAAATATGCAAAAGCAATGGAGAAAGAAATAAATTTCCGGATCAATTGGGACATATCAATGAACAGATTGAAGATATGCATGAAGAAAAAGAAACATACAATGAATTTTTTGAGTCCAAATTGTATATACCATCTCTACGGGCAAACAAAAGAGAATTGGATTTTTTCTTTAAAATTCTTAAAAAAGCAATGGAAAAAAATAGCAAATACAATATATACATAAATCTGATGAATATTCTGTGTAAAAATTTTCCGTCATACATTGGGCTATTTGCGAAGCTGTGGTTTCAATGTAAAGTTTTACTAGCAGAAAAATTAATTTTAATTGAGTTTTTTAGGCAATTAAAAATAAACTCAGAAATAATTAACCATTTTTTTAATTATGGATATGACTCTTTCGAAACGATATTGTCAATAACCCCTGAAGATTTAATAAAAATACAAAAATTTAACAATGTCACTTGGGTTCCTGGACATGCTTTTAAATTAAAAATAATTTTCTCTCAAATTGAAGAATACTTTAAGTTGTTCATTCGACAGAATGATGACTATGTACGAAAAATTAAAAAAATTATTTTAAACAAAAGGAAAAAAACAGAACTAACTGTTCAGTTGTCTTTGGAACAGCAAAAGAACAGTGTAGAAGAAAGAGAAAATATTTATTACACATTCTCTCCTCAAACCTTGAAAAATTTCAACACAATTGTTTACCAACCACATATGTCATTAAATATGAGGGGAAAAAATCTCCTATATAATCCTCTTCCCGATAAGTCATTATATTATAATAAGACATATGTAAAAAATTATCAACATCCTCCTTATTCTCTGTTACGTTATGTTCACAATTTTTTCTCTCTTCATTGTTAATCCTTCTCCATAGAAGTCTATAGTAGGAGGAGCGAGATCAAGTTGGAAATTTGTGTATTCATTTGTAACCAAACACATATATTATTATCCCTCAAAAATATAGCACACTAGTATATACACTCTTATATTTGCAAAAAAAAAAAAAAAAAAAAAAAAAAAAAAAAAAAAAGAAAAGAAAAATAAGTAAATATATAATCACATTTTTGTGAAAAAGGGAAAGAGTTCGTAACTCCGATATATATTCGTTGTCACTTGTAATGAGATTTTTTCTCTCCACCCTGCTTAAATGTTACATGTCGTTCGAGTTATCTCATCATTGCAGCTATGAAAACTTATGTAGCCAATTATAGCTGTTTTTTTTTTTTTTTTTTTTTTTTTTTCCCATTTTTCTAACATTCTACCTAACTTGATCATATCATTTTTGAAACATTGCACATGTTTTTACGTGTGTGTGCATGCGAATTTTTTTTTCCTCTCACGTTTTCATTTTTTTACCGTTTTATTACTTTATTACTTTATTGCTTTATTGCTTTATTGCTTTATTGCTTTATTACTTTATTGCTTTATTGCTTTATTGCTTTTTTTTGTTTTTGCTTTCCCCTTCGATTTAACCCATTGGACATGTCTTGCCGAACCGCACTAGGGCTCACTAGCGTCGTAACCACTGTCCGTTTCTTCCTATTTTTTTGTATTTTCCACAATCTCCATGCACCAATAGTAAACCGCGCAACCTGCTACCAAGTTGGTAAACCAATTAGCCTGAACAAACTCGTAAATTATGAACATGTCAGAAAAAAAAAAAAACAATTTTCTCCTAACTTCGAATGTGTACAAATAGTAGGGGGGGGAACAAATAAGAATTCGTTACCTCATGAAAGCAAATCAAATTTGTTACCTCATGAAAGCAAATCAAATTTGTTACCTCATGAAAGCAAATCAAATTTGTTACCTCATGAAAGCAAATCAAATTTGTTACCTCATGAAAGCAAATCAAATTTGTTACCTCATGAAAGCAGATCAAATTTTTTACCTCATGAAAGCAAATCAAATTTGTTACCTCATGAAAGCAAATCAAATTTGTTACCTCATGAAAGCAGATCAAATTTTTTACCTCATGAAAGCAGATCAAATTTTTTACCTCATGAAAGCAGATCAAATTTTTTACCTCATGATAGCAAATCAAATTTGTTACCTCATGAAAGCAGATCAAATTTGTCCATTTTAATTACTTCACCAGAGGGGGCCAAAATATACAGATTTGTTGTCCTATTGCTCATCTACAGATTGAGCAATATTGTATCTTCGAAAGATTTTCATTTCTCAGATAATTCTTACCTTAAAAATAACACAATAGTGAAAATCCTGAACTTGCCAATTGTGTCGATTGGAAAAGCATGCAACGATATTTTAAATAACGATTGTTCAAAAACAGACTTCACTGACATGTACCAAATATTATCGATAGAAAATACAAACTTCAAAATAAATCATAAAATATTTTGCAAAATTAACAAGAACATTGGTAAATTGAATATCGTCTTCACCCCCAGTAAAGCTAATGCAGAAACATTGAAAAAGGAATTTATAAACCATTTGTTTAACAAACAAAAGGGAGAAATAATAAATGCAAAAAAAAAAATCATCTGGATTGCATCCGCCATTAGTCAGACAAATTTTAATGATAGTTGTAGTAACACAAAAGGTAACTCTTTAAACAAGATACAAAAAGTAAAAAAATCCTTAACCATTTTAAGAATAAATTGCTATGACACAAAAAAAGTTACATATAATAAGAGAAAAAATCAAATAAGAAAAAAATCAATTATATGTCTTATGAGCAATAGTACAGTAGTATCATATTTCGAAAATTTTGGAAACCATTTTTCCCATGTTGTTTGTATGGGGAAAAATTCCTACATGATGGCAAAAAAATTAAATTTCAAAAATGTTCATTATCCTGAAGATTCCAAAATAAAGTCTTTTCTAAATATGTTAATAAATTTATATAACAAATTAAGAGATAAATACGATACACACTATGATATTGTGTTGACACGAGAGAAACATAAAAATGAGAAACTGGCAAAAGCCTTAACTAAGGAAGGAATACCATATCGAATTGTACCATGCATAAAAACACAGTATCACAAAAAAAATATTCAGTTACTTTATTCAATCATTTCATCTCACATGTGAAAAAAAAAAAAAAAAAAAAAAAACCTACTTACAAGCAGGTATGTTAAATACTTCATTGAACAAACACACATATATGAATGTATCTGTATACATATGTGTGCATATCTAACCTAAACCAAAAAGTCTTCACCCAATTTAACATTTTTGAAACTCTTCCAACAATTCTGAAAATTTGTCATTTTTGTCAGCTGCAATAAATTTTTTAGTTTGGTCACTTTGGAATTCACTGAAGTAGTTATCTTCATTGTTGAATGTTGTGTCAACTTCTTTCTTTGTATTCGCTATGCTATAACTATGAAAAAAGGTTTCCACATTATTTAAATCTTCATAGTTGTTTATACTACAAAATGTGTCATTTGTTGAATCTATACTATTTCTACTGTAGTCCATTTGATCTAAAGAGAATGTGTAATTAAACGGTTCATTACTTTGTTTATTTTTCAAAAAATTATCATTTTTAAAATTACTTAAATATGTTGCAAATAAATCGTTTTCAATCACTTCTGCAAAGTCATCCTTCATGGGAAAATTATTATTCTTACTATCACACTCGTGTCTTTTGGAAACACTCCAAGGATCGAAGAAACTGTTAAAGTCAGTTTGATCCGGACTTTTATCAACCTTCTCGCTGTTAAATGAATTTCCACATCCGTTCCCAATTGTTCTGTCGAATCCAAACAAGTTATTATCACTATCTAGATTTATTTCTTTCAATATATATTCATTTTCACAATTCGTATTTTTATCTTTATCATTTCCCTTCACCACACCCTCATCATGATTATTGTTGTCATCCAAGTTAAGCAAATCGGAATTTTCTCCTCTTTCAGCGATTCTATCATCCATTGTATTCTCCACACTTTCCATGCTTATCAATTTAACATCTTTACAGGTCATATCAGATTTGTCAGCGTTACACATTTTCTCCGCCCCCTCCAACTTCTCCGCCCCATCCAACTTCTCCGCCCCATCCAACTTCTCCGCCCCATCCAACTTCTCCACCCCATCCAACTTCGAACTCTTTGCATTCACTGCCAGGAGAGACTTCTCTGCGTTAGAGGTTTTGGTGAAAGGATTTCGTTTGAAGAGATCTTGAGCAAGTGTAGATGGCGTGAAAATCTTATAAAATGGAATATTTGGATTGTTTTGTGGAATGTGTGATTGATATTTGTGCGAAGATATTTTGATATCCATAATTTTACCATTACTAATTTCGATAAATTCATTGTGTTTGTTATTTAAATTCAGTTCATTAATTTTTTCAAATATTTCATTAACCATTTTTTTTATGTCATTTGGGATATACATAAACCATGATTTCAAATCTGCGTAATTTTCCAAAATGAACAAAAGAGTAGTTGAATCTAATCGTTTCTGTGGGTTCTTATTCAATGTCATAAGTAAAATAGAAATAATTCTCTTGGAATATTTCGAATGATATGGTATAATAAAACTTCCGTTAATTATAGACAATAAAGAATTTTGATTATTTTGAAAAGGGTGTACTTTAAATAGTAACAAGTATAAAATACAACCAATCATCCACAAATCAACTTTTGTTGAAATTTCTTTATTTGCATATAAATCAATTAATTCTGGAGGTCTGTAAATTAATGTTGTGTCTCTTTCAATTTCTTCTTTTAAAATATTTAAAGAATTTTTCATCAAGTCATTTGGATAAAAAGAATTAGAAACACTATGTGAACAGAAATCACAAATTTTATAAACTCCATTTTTATCACATAAAATATTTTCTAATTTTATATCTCTATGTATAATAGGAATTTCTTGTGTATGTAAAAAATTCAATCCTTTCATTATATCTTTTAATATCTTCACTATATGATTCTCTTTAATTTTTTCTTTATTCTTTTCAAATATATTTAATAAATTACCTCTTTCACAATGCTCCATTAGCATAATCACTATTTTGTTATTATTTTCTGTTATTATCGTCGAACCAAAATACTGGATTATATTTTTATGTGGTGGTAAACTTTTTAATATATTGATTTCTTTTTTTGCCATTTCTAATTTTTCTTTATCTTGACATATTGTCTTCTTAATGCTATACGTTTTGTTAGTGTTTAAATCTTTGGCCAAATAAACAAAAGAATAAGCTCCCTCAGATAACAGTTTTTCTTCTCTTATTGTCTTCCCATTTATGTTGTAAACTTTCCCTCCTATTAGAGTCGTGCATATACTCCTCAGCTTGAGCATCTTTTTATAACAATTTGGGTTCACTTAATATAGACGTGATAATTTTTCTTCAATTGTGTGTGCATTTCGCGTTTCTCCTTCTATTCTTCTCTTCGTCTATCCCTTTTTTTTCTTATTTTTATTCTATCACTTTTTCTTATCTGCTTCTGCATCAACTACTTCTGCTTCTGCATCAGCTTCTTCTGGTTCTGCATCAACTTCTTCTGGTTCTACGTCTACTACTTGTTCTCCCCTTTTTTCTGTCTTTCCAATTTTAATTCAGAATTCAATATTTCGACACACATAGCATATGGTCCAAGAGAACAGGTGATTTTTCTTTATGGATGTAGAGTACCCAGATTACACCCACTCTTTTCCTTACTCACGTATTCTAAGGTTTGTACATGTATGTGCATGAAATAATGCTGTGTAAGAAATAGAGCAACACAGGAAAAATAGAAAAAAAATAAAATAAAATAAACTTTAAAATAAGAAGAAAGCAAGGATAAGGTGCGAATAAAGCAAGGATAAGGTGTGGATAAAGCAAGGATAAAATATGTGTACTGCTGTTATATCTTCCCTTGGCTATTTTTCTATTCTTTAGTTGCAAGATGTAAAAAAAGGAAAAAAAAAACACAAAAACATATGACCCGTATAACATGTTAACATATCACACGACAAACTTCGTCCCTTACTTCTATGTTGTCAATTTGATTTGGATTAATTTGTAACAAATGTTCTGAATTTAAAAACTAGATATGTCTTAACAAATTACGGTGTGCATATATGTATTCATGTATGCATGGGTGGATAACTGGATGGATGAGAGACGTGCATGTCTTTGTTAAGGTAAACATTATAATTCTTTAAAAAAAAAGAATAGTTGTTTAATGAATATTTTCGTATGCGTTTTTTCTAACACTTGGGGTAATTAAAAATGGAGAAAAAAAAAAAAAGAAATATATATATATATATATATATATATATGAACACAGTACAGATTGAAAATAAATAAACGAAAAGGAAGAAGTAACCGAGGCAACGCGGTTAGTGCACAAATGTCATAATATTAAAAAAACGTATTCATACAAATAACAAATGCTTAAAATGATCAGTTCTATCTTTAAACATATGAGGCAGCACATACATATGGACCATTCAGACAAGTTTAAAAAAAAAAAATGATTCACAATCAAATCAAAAAATATATTGTAAAGGTATTTTTCTTAAAAATTGCAGTAGCACATACGTATACCAGTGCATGTCTATGTGCATCTGCTTAAACTTTTGCATGCATATTTTTGTACACTGTTTTGTACGTGATTTTGCTTATCCCTTTTGCTCACGCCTTAACACATTTTGGTAAAAACAGTTGTACGCATAAACTTCACTTAACCAGATGTGTGGATAAGTAGTCAACTCATATTCACATTTTTCTCTTACTTCAAAGAGTTCCATAAATGATGGTGTTCATGTGGGAGTAACTTTTACACATGTCATATGTATACACTTACGAACGTGTGTATATATGTACATATATATACACATACATATTTATTCATTCATTTATTCGTTCATCCGTTCATTTACTTATTCATTCAATTATTCATGTATATATACACACGCAACTGCTCGGGAACTCTCTTTGAGTAAAAAAGGGGCTGGTGCTGTAACGCAAACTCCTTTGACGTTTTTCTCATGTGTCTTATTTTCTTCAGTCTTTTTTTTAAAATGTGGAAATGGAAAAAGATTAAAGAATACCAGTGTTCAAAGGCCCCCTTGCTACATGTACATTTTCAGACTGAAAAAAAAAAAAAAAAAAAAATTCATAAAAATGAATGAAAAATGAATGCACAATGGATGCACGATGAATGCAAAATGGATGCAAAAATGGATGCAAAATGGATGCAAAAATGGATGCAAAAATGGATGCAAAAATGGATGCAAAAATGGATGCAAAATGAATGCAAAATGAATGCAAAATGGATATAAAATGAATGCAAACAAAATACTGAACGAAAAAAAAAAAAAAAAAAGTTCGTTTATGTGTATGTGTGTGGTGGACATGTCTACATACATTTTCTTTACGCACACCTTTATGTGTACATGTACACAAACATGTTTAATCGTTTGTACATACACATATGTTTATGGATACCTGTATGATGTGAGAATGTGAAATTCATGTCGCGCATTTTTTTTTTTTTACTGTTTTTTTCTTTTTCCTACTTTTTTTTTTTTTTTTTTTTTTTTTTTTGATCTATAAAAAGGGAACAAAAAATAGGGGAAAAGTAATGGTAGGATAAAGAAAAAGCAGTAAAAAAAAAAAAAAAAAAAAAAAAAAAAAAACATTTAAACATGCAATAAAAATTTTTTTTTTTAATCAATTTGCATGTGTAAAAAAAGGATATGTAGAGAATTGAATATGATTTGAAACTAAAGGTGTATGTTATGTATGTTTACCTTTTGTCTGTTCAGCATTTTTGGTGAAGATGTAATGGTGTTGTTGTGCTAATGTTATCATATAGAGCAATGCTGCAACGCCGTGATCACACAGTTGTTACATGCGCTAGTAACTGTTTTCACGCATTCGTCTTCCTTTTGTGCATTTTTATAAGTTGTCAACTTTACAAATGTGAAAAGAGTGGGAAATCATATAAAACATCGTTTATGGCTATTAAGTGAAACATACCCAGGTAGGTATATGTGACTGTGTATGTATATACATATATATATATATATACATATGTGTGTGCTTATTTAACACATTGTGGCAGAATGGTATATTCATACATATTATACAGGAATATCAATATGTTTGCAAATCAGTAATTGTCGCTTGCTTAATTTCTTAATATTTAACGTAAACCTTTATATCTAATATCTTTTGGGCGGTGTTAAAAAAGGCACATGTTACACATGGTCGCACGACACCTATCAGATTTGCAAACGTATGAACGCGACACACGTAAGAATACACAAATATCAGGCCTATGCGAGTGAGTTCCTACTCACACGTACGTCTCCAAACCCAATATGGGAAACAAGGCAAATCGAAAAAAAAAAAGTAGAACGAAACAAAGAAAAAAAAAGTTCCCTATGATGAATTTGTTAAAGTGCTCAACGGGTAAAACCGTTCACAGCCTTCTTTGCGTATGAAATGGTGGCGCATAAGTTGTTATAAAAAAAATAGAGCAAAAATGTTTCGTAAATTGAGAATTCTACCTTTCGTTTACATAAATTCAAATGTTTGCATTTTGCAATTTTAAAACGCTTTTAAAATGTTTGGAGTGAAAATGGGGAAAAAATAGCCTTTTTTTTTTTTTTTTTTTAAAACTTCTTTCATGTTCATGCAACTTTTAACTTTCTAGCTTTTTTTGATCAATTTTTTCTGACTGTTCATATTTTTATAAAATTTATGAAAACGCAAAGTTGTATAAAAGATCAGGAAATTACCAGCACGTATATGCAAATCAACTTGTCGTGATTTCAAGGTGGTAAAGAAAGGTTTCTAACCAAGTTCTACTGAATGTGTAATATTCTTAATACACATAACCTGCTGAACATATAAATGTTTCTTCTTATGCTTAGGGAAGACTGTTGTGAACGCACAAGTTTTATTAGAGAATTTTACTGGAACTGTGTTTTTTTTGCAGTTCCTCAGGGTGACTCTTATTCATAAAACTTTGCATACAATTGCGAACACAAATGAAAACGCGTGCAAACAACGTTGTTAACTTCTTTTTCTTTTCCCGTCTTTTTTTCTTATTTGGAAAATTTTCAACTATTTTCTTTTAATTTCGTATATTTATAGCCATGAATTTCTTAAAAATGAGAACACAAGCACACAGAGGATAGCACATATTATTTGTCACCATTTTACCAATTTTACATATCCTTATAATTATTACCCTTACTGATATTGATGTGTCAGTCTGCTACCATAACCCCCCTACCTACGCAGAGAGAAGAATGCTGACACTCACAATGTCTCACATTCATCTCCCTTTAAAAAATAAAATAAGATCGATTTTTTTTGAACCAAAAAAAAGACTCCTACATTTTTTTTGAAACAGGATTTTTGTATGTCCTTGTTTTCTTCCTATATCTTTATTCATATAATAATGCAACGCGCTGGGTTAAATTAAACGTAAAAAAAAAAAAAAAAAAAAAAAAAAAAAAAATATCATAAAGATTGAACCTCGGAAACTTGATCAGTTTTGCTTTTTTTCCTTTTCACTTAAAATTAGTCAAGGGTATATCAAATATGTGAAAGAGATAGGCATTTCCTCTAGCGTACGCTTGTGCAACTCTATTTTGCTACGGTTTTCATAGGGAGGGTGTGCATTTAAGTACATGTCACGTATGCATATATATATGGTTACATTCGTGTAATGTCGTCTCCCCCTCAAGAATCCTGGATATTAAAGGTCTTACCATACATAAGCTTGTAACGCAAAAGAATGAGTAGCACATTCAACTAGTTGGGATATATCTTTCTATACCTCAGCATATATTTACAACCCACAAAATTTTTCATTTTTTCAAAAAACAACAACAACAACAAAAAAAAAAAAAAAAAAAAAACAGAGAAAAAATTGTAACTCAAGAGATTTGTATTTATTTTTCAAAATTTTTAAACGCGTAAAAAATTATTCGATCAAAGGTATCATCTGAGACACTACTCTCGTGCACATGTAATATATTATATATGTGGTAATTGTTCTCAGCTGTTAATGTTTCGACGCATAGCATGGATAAAACATCGACATCGTATAATCGTCATGTGGTGAGACACTTGCAAAACAAAACAAACGAGTGCAATCGAATTTGATCGTAAATTGTGTTGTATTGCCATTTGCACATATGTGTTAGTGCCTGAAAAAAAAAAAAAAAAAAAAAAAAAACTTCTTCACGTTAACAAAAATATTACAGCGGTTAGAGAAATGTGTGAAAGGGGAAGAGTCTACACGGATGATCCATACGCATAAGTACATATATGTGAACATGATTATATGTGTATATACTATATATACATATATTTATGCGTTCCCTGCATCTGCCCAGCTTCTTTTATACGTATTTTTTTTTTTTTTTTTTTTTTCTTTTTAATTAGGTCTGCACATCATTGAATTGCCTCTCTACCGAACTGCACCTTTTTTCCCACCTTTTTTTGTGCCATCATGACTATATGAAAAACCCGACACACGAGAAAAATTTTCATCAACATCTATTTTATTTTGGCAAAAAGAGAGGTGGGGGTGGAGTCTCAAATCATTTCTTTTCCATCTCTTCGTGCTTAACATATTCTTGGTCATTTGATAAAACGTATTCCTCATCCTACTGTCAAGAGGTTTCTTTTTTTTTTTTTTTTTTTTTTTTTTTTTGCATTCCTTTGCTTCACATTATATTACCATATTTCATTTGGTTTCATTTTATTTTTCGTTTTCGCAAAAATTTGCTTACACTGTAATAACTACCTCCGTGAAGAAAAAAAGAAATTTTATCTTCCCTTATGCTGCAGGACCCTTTCGAGTGAAAGAATTGTGGCTTGTGTTTCATTATTATGATTAAAAAAATTCAAGGATCCCAATACATCCATACATGTATTTATCTATACATACACATTCACCCATCTATATGTATATATATATATATAGATAGATACATAGATAGATATATCCATTTATCTACGTATGTATGAAGGTTTCACGTCCAGCATAGATTAGAAGAATTCTTGTTAGAGGCGCCTCAATTGATATAACTTTTTTTTTTTTTTTTTTTTTTTTTTTTTTTTCTCTTATGACATATATCCCAAGAGAGGGAAGAAGTAAAAAATACACGTGAATAGCAACACAATTCAAGCGTCCTTATATATATATATATATATATATATATATTTACATTCGAGCAAGAAGGCACGGAAGAATGGAACATAAAGAGAAGGGAGAAGAGGTGCACTTGACAGAAGATGGAGGAGTGGTGAAAACAATTTTGAGAAAAGGTGAAGATGGTGAAGAAAATGTACCAAAGAAAGGAAATGAAGTAACAGTTCATTATGTTGGAAAACTTGAAAGCAATGGTAAAGTGTTCGACTCATCTCGTGATAGAAATGTGCCTTTTAAATTTCACTTAGGACAAGGAGAAGTTATTAAAGGGTGGGATATATGTGTAGCATCAATGCAGAAAAATGAGAAATGTTCCTTACGTTTGGACAGCAAATATGGATATGGGGAAGATGGATGTGGTGAAAGTATACCAGGGAATAGCACATTAATTTTTGAAATTGAATTGATAAGTTTTCGAGAAGCAAAAAAAAGTGTTTATGATTATACAAATGAAGAAAAAATTCAGGCAGCTTTTGATTTAAAAGAAGAAGGAAATGAATGTTTTAAAAAAAATGAAATTAATGAAGCTATCTCAAAATATAAAGAAGCACTTGATTTTTTTGTATATGCAGAAGAATGGGATGATAATTTAATAGAAAAAAAAAAAAATATTGAAATAATTTGTAATCTAAATTTATCTACATGTTACAATAAGAATAAAGATTTCCCCAATGCCATTGCACATGCTTCTAAAGTTTTGAAATATGAAAAAAATAATGTCAAAGCATTATATAAATTAGGAGTAGCTAATATGCATTTTGGATTTCTAGAAGCTGCAAAAGAAAATCTATACAAAGCTGCATCCTTAAATCCAAATAATTTGGAAATCAGAAATTCCTATGAACTATGTATAAACAAATTGAAGGAGGCTAGAAAAAAAGATAAACTAACCTTTGGAGGATTGTTTGACAAAGGGACACCACTCTACGAGGAGAAGAAAGGCACTGCCAAATGAGGATTCCCCACCAGTTAAAACTCCATGTTTTGTGCACCCATACACATATATATATACACATGCATATATATACACATATATATACACATACATATATATACACATATATATATACATATATATGTTTGCGTGTGCAGTTATATATATAAAGTTCTTGTATATAATTATTGTCCCCAAAAAGACCATGTAAAATTCCAGTGTTCAAAAATGGAACCATTCCCCCTGACATAGATCTCCAAGAGTTCCCCTCCACTCATCTGATGTTTAATCTTCCGCAGATGGAGAAGTTGACGAAATGGAAAAAAATAGCTCAACCTCTTCACCATTTCTTCTTGGATATATATATATATATATATATATATATATATATATATACATATACATATGTATGCGTGTGTGTTCTTCTTTGGAAGCAGATATGAACATGGGAGCAAGGACACACATGACGTGCCCCTTCTCCATTCTCTGTGTAATATGTGTCGAGATATTTCCAGATATTTATGTGTGCATCTTAGAATATATAGGAAATATCCTTTACCGGAGCGAACAGCGTATACTGTGATGCTGTCACGACACACTGTCATCCATACTGATATATATATATATATATATATATATATATATATAGACAACCTGGGGTGCACAGCTTTTCCTTCACCACCCGCCCTCCCCTTCTAACATTTGATCCGATGCATTCCATCTAGACAGAAATCGAAATACATAAGCTCCAAATGTAAGTCGTTACACAGTTCCCCGCTTGTTCTTATTAGTTCTAATGCGTTTCAACATTTCTCTCCATTTTGTTGCATTTTCCAATATTTCTATACATGTTTCGACCAATAACACAACCTCCCAACCGTGTAAACGAGAACACTGATATATATATTCCTTATTAATTGTAAAAAAAAAAAAAGAAGGGGGAGGGATATAACTGTTGACACCTAATTTTTACCTCTATCCTAATTCTCAAAAGTATGCAGCTTCCACGATATATTTAAAACGTAACTTCTTGTTCTCTATGTCCATGCTATGTATGTACCAAAAAGTGGTGGACCGATAAAAAAGTACACCAAATTGATTAAGAGAAAGTAATTCCATTTATCTGAATATTTCAATAAATAAGCATAATGGGTGTAGAAATATGGTGAACTTACAACGAGCCTTAGGATTATCTGCACAAAAAGGGGAAGAAAATGAAGTGGGATGAAATGAAGTGAAATGATGTGGGGAAAAATGAAGCAAAGTGATGTGAAATGCTAAAAGTTTCAGCCATAGGAATAGGTCATGCACTCTCTTCCCCTCCCCCATTCCTCCCCTATCTAATGCCAATTTAAGTTCCACATGTAAATGTTTTGATACTTTTTAAAAAACATGAACTAAGTGCAATGTATGGATAGAGCAAAATTATCCTTAATATCAAAATGCTCTCTCTCACATAAGGAAAATGTGTGTGTGTGTGTGTGTGTTTGTGTGTGTGTTTGTGGGTGGATGACTGTTCATGATGGGTGATGAAAAGGAATATCCATCTATTCGCACGGTAAAAAAAGAGTGTATACTAGACTCATGCAATCAAGTTGGGCAGTATACAATCTAACATAATGTATATTACCTCGGTATGAGCAAAGGTCAAGATATAAAGACACAAAACGAATAAATGAAGTATGCCTTCGAGGAAGGGATTTAACAAGAGATATGGTTGATTGATGTTAAATGTTTTACAAATAAAAAAGTGATAAACGGCATGGAATGATAAGAAATAGACAGGGGCTGCATACAATATGTTAGGATTAGGAGATTTAAACAATTTTAAAAATTGGACACCCCAATATTTTTGTTGAATATAATTGTAAACAAAAGGAAAAGTTTTCTCACACCAAGGCCTTCGAATAAATTCAGAATTCTGACTCGTATGATTTAAGATATCTACATATTTCAATGGATTCTTTAGAAATGAAATTAAAAAATTATGAAACTTTTTATGTTCCTCTTTCCATAAATCATTATGTTTTGGTACACAATATAAATGATAAGCATATGATTGAAAAATTATAAAAGGTAATATCACAAGAATTGCTTCTATTAACGCCTTTCCCCAATGAAGAACAAATTGAACAAAATTACGTTTATTTTGAAAATATATCCATATATTTTCTTTGCTTATCCTCTTTTTATGAATATCAATTTGAGAATTTGACCCAGGAGTCAAGTGAATTTTTTTTCCCGCACCCATAGAAGATGATAACAATAAACTGCAATAACGACAAAAAGTGCAAGAACTTAAATTGAAAATAAAAAGTGGAATTAAAAATAAAATTCCATTAGATCTGAAAAAAGAAGCTAATGAAAATGACAAAACTGCAAACAGTTCAAATATCAAATTCATATTCTTAGAAATTTTAGAAAATTGCAAAAAGGTAAACCCCCATATGGATAAGCAACTGAATATACTTTCATTATAAAAACTGCTCATGTGTATATTTCCAATATTGAAAATGTATAAAAATGCGACAAAAAAACTGAATTTATAGCAATTTTCTATATCCATAATATTATTCATATAATACATATCACTACACTTCTCCTTCTTCTTTGCTGAACTTATTTCTACATTCCTTATCCGATTATTAAAGGAAATATATACAAATACATACATACCAATAACAGATATCACGAAAAAAAAATTATTTATGATTAAAGCGATTAACATATGCACTGAACAAGTACTACTACTCATGTTGGGTAAAAATATACTTATCAACTTTTTTATGTACACTATAATTAATGGTAATGCTGGGAAAAAAGCATGGTTCTGTTCATACAAATATTCTGTTTCGTTCAATGATAAGCGTAAGAAATATTCTCCATCCCAGTAGGAAAAGCATCTTATGTAATTCCACAAATTGGAATGTTCATCACATAACAAGTCATTGCTAAATTTGTAATTCCTTATTCCTCTGCTCCACAAAATAGTGTATCCTATGCAAAATACTCTAACAATCATGGCTATTAATCCAAGGGATATCACATCTTTTGCTACTTTCCATTCTGTTCTACTTTTTCCCACGTTCCCTGTACCATCACCCAATTCCTCCGCCTCCCCTGTCCCCTCTGCCTCCTCTTCACTTTTCCCTTTGTCTAGAAATTTACCCTCCTGCATTATGAGACGCAGCATGGCAAGAGCTATCCTCCCTAAGGGTTCCCTTGTGTTTCTCTACCTCAAACTTTCTCTACCTCAAACTTTCTCTATCTCAAATGTTGTGCAAAAATAATAACTCTTCACAGACGCTCAACCGGGGATGCCTTCAGTTTTACCCCCTTTGTAGTAGATATGAGCGACGGGAATCTCGGGACTGAAAAATGCTAAATTTAACATGACGTGTTGGCGCGCTGGATTTGGCAAAATTAAGACGATATTGTACAAAAAAAAGAAAAATTGAAAAGGCTGGAAAAACTGAAAAAATTGAAAAAACTGAAAAAACTGAAAAAACTGAAAAAACTGAAAAAACTGAAAAAACTGAAAAAATTGAAAAAACTGAAAAAACTGAAAAAACTGAAAAAACTGAAAAAACTGAAAATACTCAAGTAAAAAAAAAAAAAAAAGAAAAAAAAGAAAAACAAAGCAGAAAGATATGAAATAAAATAGATATTCCCTTTTGTGGGTGGCCACCAATTTTGTTCGTTTTTGTTTTTTTATTTACCATTTTTTTTTTTTTTTTTTTTTTTTACACCCCTATGAGAAATGACCAATGCAGCGTATAGAAATTTCAAGCCCAGCCTGCGTGACCTAAATGATTGAAAAAGTACAATCTCTTCTACCCAGTTTTCCTTTTAATAAATTTTGCTTAAAAAAAAATGTTTTAAAATTCATAGGATAATAATAGTGGTCAGTGCATACAAACGATGGAACTTCCAACTTGAAACTTCCAAACAATGGAACTGTCAGCTACATTCTAACTGCTAACTGCTGATAATATGTTGGGAATATATTTTTTTTGTTGTTTTTTTTTTTTTTTTTTTTTTTTTCCTTCGCTTTGCCTCTTTTAACATCCATTAAGAATGGAAACGGGAAAAGAAACGAAGAAGAACGAAATATCACTGTTGGAAATTAAAAGAAAAGCACAAAATGAGAAGGAATCACAAAAGAATGATAACAAGCCTAGAAAATTCCGAATTATTAACTATACATCAAGAGATAGCTTAGTTGCAAAAGCAGAAAAAGATTTTTTTCTTTACTTTTGTTTTTTATGTGGTTTTAATTGCTTAATAAGTGAAATAGATATTAGTCATTTACCTACCAGAACAACAGATGGATCCATAATATATCCATTCAAAAATGTAGTACATAAAAAATTCCATAAAACAAAAAAGGAACATATACTCATACAAAGAAATAATGAAGCAATCGAAGTGCAGTTTAGAATATTATGTAAAGAATGTCAAGTTCCAATAGGTTATGTAAACTGTCTCAGTGAAGACAATTCTCTTATTTATTATTACGACTATGCTTTTGTTCGAGACCAAACCAAGTCCAAATTTCTTTCAGACGTATTGTTGTGACACAATTGCCATGTATGTGGGGTGGTGGTGGTACCCATAGAGAAATTGTTTTACTAATTGAGAAAACTATTACTTAAATGAAAAGGATCTAGGAGGGAAATGTTAATTATGGATTCAGTTTTTTTTTTTTTCCTTTTTTTTTTATGTCTTCATTTCCGCTTAAGCTTTATTCGTAAGGCTTATGCGAGTATAACATAATCATCATATGCATATACACATATAAAACCCTAGATAATGTTATCCTTTTTTTTTTTTTTTTTTTTCTTCACTTTATTCAATTTTTTTTCTGTTTTTCATTTTAGACCAAACTAACACTGGCTTGCAAAAACCTACAAATTGTCATCACTACTTATTAGGGGAAGTATATCATACTTGCTTACCATACCGGTGCTAACAAATCTATTTTGGTTTTTATTTTTTAACGTTTGAGTACTTTTTCCTGCAACATTACTTCGATTTGGTAGGATCCCTTTTTCATCTCCCTCTTGATATTTCTTTTCCGTTGTTGATGTTATTAAATTACTAACATTTGGTTCTAGACTCACTTTCATACTGAAAAAACCAACTCTTTGAATCGATCCTCTGGTTTCATACAAATTTCCTTTTTTTCCCCGTGTGTTTGGCATTATAACCTGTGTAAAAAAAATATTTATATGAAATGAAACCTCGTTCGTTACAAAACAGTTGTAAAAAAAGAAATCCCCTTCGATGTCAAACAGAACTCTTCTGACGTGGAAATATATGTATATATATATTTCCGTATGTATGCACATATATATGCGTATCTCTCCCTTTGCAGCATGTTCCATTCAATTGTATCTGCAAAGTATTACCATTTTTCCCATTGACCAGGTAGTTACAGCGCCGTCTATGTTCAGAATATCACCAACCCTGAAAAAATATTTCGAAATTTTGTTACTTTTAGGGCTGCTGATATTAGTCAAATGTGTTATATTCTTAGAATCCTTTGAAATCTGTATCTTTTTATTTAAGTCGTGTGTATAATTATTCGTCTGATTTGTCACATTATAATTTGCACCTTCGTTCATGTTAAAATGTGTACTGTTGTATGAGTCCACAACATCCTCTATGTCATCATTTAGAATGTTTATATTCTTTTTCTTCAGCTCTTCTTCTATTAACGTGTGAGGAATACATAATATTACAGAACCTGTAATGTCTGCTACCAAGTAATGATATTTAATTATGTTATTTATATGTTGTGGAGGATCTTCTAAATATTTAATGATTAAACATTGTATGCTCAAATTGTTCAGTAATGGCTTCAGATTTTTAATGGGATAAAAAGGTTCATCAGACATTATATCCGCCCTTCTTTATTCTGCCAAATTCTAGGTAATTTGGGTAAATAGAATTTAGTTTTTCTACTCGTCAATCGCGTTTTGCTTGTTCAGATGCTGCACAAGTGCCAACTAATATTGCTAATTATTATTACCTATATTGATGACTCTATTATTTTTCATTGTTCTACTCTGAAACTACCACCCATACACACACAAACTCCTTTTTCAATTTTACTTAGTTTATTTTTTTCTACCAATTTCCTACTTTTAAAATATATTATGACAACTTTTCCAGTTTTGGTGCAGGTAAATTTTTCACTTTTCACATTTGTACAATGGGCACGGGGAAAATTTATGCAAAAAACCCTATGCCTTGGTCATTTTTTTGTCACGTCTTAAAAGTTTTTTTATATAAAAATAGCAAAAAGGAAATTCTTTTAAATAAACAAATTGTACAATGGAGAAAAGCTTGAGAAAGGATGCTAAGGAATTTCTTTTCTTGTTGTTTATTCTTTTAAAACACCATTGCACTTAGGCCAAAATACACGGGGAGGGCATAGTACGATCATAAAACATTGTACCATAAAAAATAACACAACTATAAAAACGGACGGAGGGAAAATAAAACAAAAAGGAAAATTACATTGAATGGGAATTTTTTGGAAATCTCGGGAGTAACACAAAATAGTGAAGATAAAGTTGGGAAGTTGAGTACATGATTGAAAATGTCACGTTTGACAGAAAAAAAAAAAAAAAAAAAAAAAAAAGGAAGAATGGTTTAAAAAAATAAAACGAAATCGAGTAAAATACAGTAAAATGTGGTGAAATAGAGTAAAATACGGTAAAATATGGAAAGAAATAGGGTTAAATATGGAGAGAAATAGAGTCAAATGAGGTAATATGTGACCAAATAGGGTTAATTGCGGTAAAATATATATATAAAGTGACAGAACAAATGGGGAGATGCCTTTTTTTTTTTTTTTTTTTAACAAAAATTCAGTAAAAACTCCAAACGTTAAATCACGAAAAGGATATTTGTATATATATATGTATACGTGTATGTATTACCATTTGGAAAGAGCTCATCAAAAATTGCATGGCCATATTTTGTTTTTTTTCGTTTTTTATCTGTTAATTTGTTGATTAAAGAAAATTCCCAGAAGGTTCTGCTTGCCTTGGTATATACATATGCATGTGCTGATTAAATCTCTGGCATTTTTGTTATAAATAGGTGAGACAGGAACTTCAAATTAAAGAAGAAGAAGGGCCTACATCGTGGGCGGGAAGTGCGGGTAAAATGTTATAGAGTCTGAGAACAGCTGTCACAGATTTTTACACACGAAAAAATGGAAGTGTCCATAAAAAAATATGCATATATATATATATATATATGTTTTTGTATCCGTATGCATATGTGTGTGAATGTTCATACATGCACTTGCATTTGTACAAAGTCGCGGACCTGTATTGTCTATTATTAATGTTCAGTGTGTCCTCCGAATAGTTCAACTCAAGTTTCGATAAAATTTTAAAGGAAACCCACTTTAACATGTTATTGTTAGCGCTCAAGTAATTTTGCAAACAGAGCTGAATAATGTTTTTATATTTCTCTGGTTCATTTAACGATTCTGGATAATGTATTTCGATAACTTTTTCATTTCTCTTAAATGTATATTCACCTATCCTTATCATTTTAACCAAGCTATTTTCAGCTTCTCCTTGAAATTTTGTCAAATCTTTAATTAAGTCGCTAAGTGGTAAGGACAAATTCCAATTCTTTATTTTTCCATAAGATATTTTTAAAGCTTCCAAAACATCCTTCTTGTTTACCTCAGATCGCATCACTAACACTTTATTCGATTCATTAAAAAATAGTAGATAACGAAAGTAGGTAACTACACACGGATTGTAAATTATTCTATCCCTGTCCTTTGGATCCAAGTGAATATTCCCAATGTCCTTCAAAGCTGCAATGAATACATTTTGAGAAAATAGAATGTTGTGTTCACAGTGCGTATTCCATGTATGTTCGCATAATGCGCATTTCTAACTATGTATTCAGACGTCCACGTGCACATGCAAATGATTACACGTTTATATACATACCCTCGGATATTCCTTTTATTGAATAAAAAGGTAACAGCGGTTAAAAATTTTGTATGCATATATTTATTTTATCAACATGCCATGCAAATTACTTCTTGCATGACTTGTTCATATGCTGAATGTATTATTTTTTTTTCATTCTCAACAACTTACACCTTATATATGTGACACAGCTGATGTAAACGCCATCGTGCCTAATGCGGGGATACTCTAACAATAACCTGGAAAATGTTAGAAATTAATATTGTCCATTATAAATGAACAATTTAAGTACTCTGATTGCGGAGTTTGTATGTTTTCCATATTTTGTCTGTTTTTTTTTTTTTTTTTTTTTTTTTTTTTTTTTTTTTTTTTTTTTTTTTTTTTTTTTTTTTTTTTTTTTTTTTTTTTTTTTTTTTTTTTTTTTTTTTTTTTGGCTAGTTGAATGCTCATTTCTTCTCATGAGAACCTCTTGAAAGAATTTCCATACAGTTTCCTCTTTTCTTCACAATTCGAAAAGTTCTTGTCACACAATCTTTTATATTCATTTTCAGCTGACCCATTGGTGTATATACTTTTACACAAAAAAAGAAATCTATTTATTTTTTATATTCAGAACATGGGTAAAAAAAAAAAAAAAAAAAAAAAAAAAAATGGATAAATAATGTATGAACAGTTCATGTGTTTTGCGTTCATATTTTTATGCAACTTTGGGAGCTTCTCGTATATGTACATATATATATATATATATATATATATATATATTTTTCTTTCCCTTTGAGAGATAAAAAGCTTTTGTAGCGCTTCATTTTCTCGTTGATGAAATGTTGTGTTTGTTTAATATTTCGATGTTGACTTCTCAGTAAGGAACATATATATATATGTACAACTTTATGTAACGTAAACCACATGTGTGCTAAGCATATGAAATATTCATATAATGACATGTTCAGCTAGTAAATCTGATTATTTGAAACAAAAAATTCACAAGGATATATGAACTATGGTTCAAGTACATTGTATTTTTTTTCACATAAAATACAGTCTATTATGTTTCCTTTAGCGGTCCTTATTTATTGTGTGCATTTTCCCATGGGTGCACAAGGAAAATAACTTTTCCCATTTTTATATTTTAACAAAAAATAGGAATGTAAAAATGCTGTTGTGCTAACCTATGCATAGAATAAAAATCTAGGAATTTTATTATTGAAAAAAAATTCTCCATTAATATATGAATTAAATACTCGTTCTGCTCTTGTTCATTATTCTCTTCAGCAGGTTTGTTCTTATCTCTGCATTTCGCGAAAGTGGTAAACAATGATTTTTTTTTTTTTTTTTATCTTTTACAACAAAATATGGAAAGGGGGAAGATATGATAAAATAAAAATATGCAAGTGGTCAAGAAGACCAATTTGACAAATGACAAAACCCGTTTTTTTCATTTTCCCCCACTTGCTTATATGTACATGCATGTACACATATAATAAACGATTAGAGTTATACACGTGGCAAAGAAATTTTACTCGTGTTCGTTGTTGTCATTAATGTATATTTTGAGAATATTGGGGTAAAGTTTCACAGCTTCTTGGTAAAACTTGGTTGCCTTTAAATAATTTTCATCACGTTCATGGTTTAATGCTTGCATAAATAATTTTTTTGCCTTTTCTTTTTTTGAGCTCATGCAATTTGAAGACGGGTTGAGATTGCTTTGTTTCGTTTTCTCAAACATTTCCCTAACATATAAAAATGGGCACTTAAAGAATAATTAAGCTGAGATAAAAATAAAAATAAAATAAAAATATGGAGAGGGGACCTGTGATGCTTGCGTTAATATGAGTTCACATGTGGTAGGTTACTATGCACATGTCGTTGAAGCTTTTCTTAGTTGGTAGCATGGATCTTTTTCTTAAAATAAAAAAGAAGAAATGAAGAAAAGAGGAAATTCCAAATCCACATTAAGCGTGGAAATGAAAGCATATATTGAAAGAGAGGTATTCTTCAGCTTCAATCAATTGCACATTACATATGCTTAAGTATATATATATATATATATATATATATATATATATATATATATATGCATAGTCGTACACAAATTTGTAAACAAATCTGCACACATACCTCTGTTGATATCTACATGTACTGATTGATGCGCATACTCATAGCCAATTTGTGGATGGACAGACGTAGTTGGTA